GACTGGACAGCCATTTGTCTGAAATGGTCTAGGGTTTCCTGCCTGAGCAGGGAGGTTGGACTAGATGACCTCCAAGGTCCCTTCCAACTTTACTATTATTATGGATCATCATACAGTCAGCCAAATGTTCAGACTGGATTTGGCATTATGTCTACCTATCGAGTCCTTACCCAGGACCTGGGATAGGCAGATGTGGATGTTTGATGGTATTACAGGTATCGTCGCAGGATGGAAGCAGTTCCTAGTAAGGCCGCCTTTTGCAATTGACTAATAGCGAATTTGTCAATGCCAATGGTGTTCAAGTGGTGCTCCAGTTGTTTTGGGATTGCACCCAAGGAGCCTTGACTATGGTACTACCCTTGCTTGCTTTGCCACAGTCTTTCTATTTCTATTTGTAGGTCTTTGTATTTTGTTATCTTCTCCAGTTCTTTCTCGTCTATTCTGCTGCTGTCTCCAGGCACTGCCACGTCCACTATCCAGACTTTTTTGTCTTTCTTATCGACAATTGTTAAGTCTGGGGTGTTACGTTGCAGGTGCTTGTCTGTTTGAATTCTGAAGTCCCAGAGCAGTTTAATTTTATCATTTTCTATGACTTTCTCTATTTTATGATCCCACCAGTTTTTGCTTACAGGCAAATGATAATTTTTGCAGATCTTCCAATGCACCATTGTTGCTACTTTGATGATGATGATGATGATTAGTATTAGCATTATTATTATTATTAGAAAAAGGGGTGACATGATAGCAGCATTCCAGTATCTGAGGGGCTGCCACAAAGAAGAGGAGGGGGTCACGCTATTCTCCAAAGCACCAGAGGAAAGGACAAGAAACAATGGTTAGAAGTTGACCAAAGAGAGAAGCAACCTGGAATTAAGGAGAAACTTCCTGACAGTGAGGACAATCAACCAGTGGAACAGCTTGCCACCAGAAATCGTGGGCGCTCCATCACTGGAGGTTTTAAAGAAGAGACTGGACAGCCATTTGTCAAGAATGGCATAGGGTCTCCTGCTTGAGCAGGGGGCTGGACTAGAGGACCTCCAAGGTCCCTTCCAGCTCTATTTGATTGATTGATTGATTGATTGATTGATTGATGCCCATTTTAACATTGGATTCCGATGCAAATAAAAAGGGGCGCAAACTTTGATTGCCCAGGCGCAGCCTCCATCTTGACTTTTTTGACCTTTAGACAAATTCCCCAACTTGAGAAACTGTTAATATCTCAGTGAGGCGACTGGCATTTGGAAGAACGCTCTGTAACCTTTAAGAGTTGAACGACCTTCGGGCGGTTCAAAGCACCTTGAAAAGTACACAACGGGCCACGTGAACACACAACTGAAAAAAAGGCTTGCACAAGATGAATGGCTGGGCTGCCCGGAGGAAGAAACTCTGCACATGCCCAGTGGCTCTTCTGCGTCCTGTCGCAGCGACAAGGGTTAATCGGATTAATTAGCTTGCTAATCAAGAAGTCCATTCATTCGTGACCTGCTTGGAGGACGGCTTCCTTCATTAAAATAATATTTAGGATTGCAGATAAGTCCTTGATTTACAACCACTTGTTTAGTGACCATTCAAAGTTACAACAGCACTGAAAAAAGGGACTTATGAAGGCAGAACAAGAAGCAATGGATGGAAACTCATCAAGAAGAGAAGCAACCTGGAACTAAGGAGAAACTTTCTGAGCAGGGGGCTGGACTAGATGACCTCCAAGGTCCCTTCTAACTTTATTATTATTATTATTATTATTATTATTGACCTCCAGGGTTCCTTCCAACATTATTATTATTAGTAGTAGTAGTAGAAATAGTACTAAGTACAAGTAATAGTTACAACGGCACTGAAAAAAGGGACTTATGAAGGCAGGACAAGAAGCAACAGATGGAAACTCATCAAGGAGAGAAGCAGCCTGGAACTAAGGAGAAACTTCCTAAGCAGGGGGCTGGACTAGATGACCTCCAAGGTCCCTTCCAACTTTTATTATTATTATTATTATTATTATTATTATTATTATTATTATTATTATTATTATTATTATTATTATATGACCTCCAAGGTCCCTTCCAACATTATTATTAGTAGTAGTAGTAGTAGTAGCAGTAGTAGTAGTAGTAAGTAGTAGTAATAGTTACAACGGCACTGAAAAAAGTGACTTATGACTGTGTTTCGTTTAACGCCCGTGTGCCTGGCTGTGGGGAAAGGAAAGTCGTAAAAACTCGCTGAACAAATGGTCTCGCTTAGCAACGGAAATTTGGGGGCTCCGTGGCCGTCGTTAAGAGATTCCACCGCAGCCAAACCAGCTTCTCGGATGGCTCCCAGAGAGGACAAAGGGCCTACCTTGGATTCGGCATCAGAGTCTGCAAAGAAGCGTCTCCTTCCATGCTGGCTTGCCTGGATGGTTTCTGCCAAGCTCCTCCGAGCGTCTTGATGCCGCGGGAAGCAACTGCTGAAAAGATCGGATCTTCCGGAGAGCTCAGCTTTCCCTGGCAAACTGGGGTCAGAGTCCTGTTGCCTGGGCCGCTGGGAACGTTTTTTTTTTAATTTGTTGAACCGATTCCTGCTCTCTCCCGCTCTCTGTTCCGCCTGATGCCATGCGCTGGAGTTCATTGACACCGATGCCAGGCCCCTGCGCCCGGGCAACTGCCGGGTTAGTGAACCAGGAACTGGCAGAGGTGCCACCTTAATGCTCCGAGAAAACGTTCAGTATCCTGCAGGCAGGAAAGAATAGAATAGCATAGAATAGCATAGAATAATATTAGAATAGAATAATATTAGAATAGAATAGAATAGAATAGAATAGAATAGAATAGAATAGAATAGAATAGAATAGAATAGAATAGAATAGAATAGAATAATATTAGAATAGAATAATATTAGAATAGAATAAGAATAGAATAGAATAATATTAGAATAGAATAGAATAGAATAGAATAGAATAGAATAGAATAGAATAGAATAGAATAGAATAGAATAGAATAATATTAGGAATAGAATAATATTAGAATAGAATAAGAATAGAATAGAATAATATTAGAATAGAATAGAATAGAATAGAATAGAATAGAATAGAATAGAATAGAATAGAATAGAATAATAGAATAGTATAATATTAGAATAGAATAGAATAGAATAATATTAGAATAGTATAATATTAGAATAGAATAATATTAGAATAATAGAATAGAATAATATTAGAATAATAGAATAGAATAATATTAGAATAATAGAATAGAATAGAATAATATTAGAATAGAATAATATTAGAATAATATAGAATAATATTAGAATAGAATAGACTAGAATAATATTAGAATAGAATAGAATAATATTATAATAATAGAATAGAATAATATTAGAATAGAATAATATAGAATAGAATAGAATAATATTGGAATAGAATAGAATAGAATAATATTAGAATAGAATAATATTAGAATAATAGAATAGAATAGAATAATATTGGAATAGAATAGAATAGAATAATATTAGAATAGAATAATATTAGAATAATAGAATAGAATAGAATAATATTAGAATAGAATAATATTAGAATAATAGAATAGAATAGAATAGAATAGAATAGAATAGAATAGAGCTGGAAGGGACCTTGGAGATCTTCTAGTCCAGCCCCCTGCTCAAGCTGGAGAACCTATATACCATCTCAGATAAGTGGCTGTCTAGCCTCTTCTTAGACATTTTTTATAGATAGTCCTCGGCTTACGACCCCAATGGAGCCCCAAAATCTCTGCGTCCGAGGGGAGACATTTGGTCAGTGGGTTTTTGCCCTGCTTTACGACTTTCCTCGCCGCGTTTCTGAAGTGAACCTTTGCAGTTCTTCAATCAGTGGAGGTGGTGGTGAAGGGAATCTGATTCCCCCCGTTAGCCTCGCTCGTCGGAAAGTCACAAAAGGGAATCACGTGACTCCAGGACACCCCGGCCGTCGTACATGTGAATCCGTGGTCAAGTGTCCCAATGTAAGTCATGTGACCTTGGGGAGGCGGCAACGGTCGTTAAGTGTGAAAAATATTCCCAGGAGACTTCCTTCAGTGCCACTGTAACTTTGGTCGCTAAATGAACTGTGGTAAGCCGAGGACGACTTGTGGTCCTCGACTTACGACAGCGGGGCCCATCGACTTTGCTTGTCAGAAGGTCGCAAAAGGGGATCACTTGATTCTGGGACACCGCGACCGTCATAAATACCGTCATAAATACGACAAGCATCTGAATTTGGATCAGGGAATGCTTCCACGGTCGTAAGTGTGAGAAACGGTCCTAAGTCATTTTTTTTTTCAGTCCCGTATCTTTGAGCGGTCACTAAACGGATAGTTGTGAGTGGAGGACTGCCTCTAGTCCAGTGGTTCTCAACCTTTTTAATGCTGCGACCCCCAACTGGTCGTAAGTCGAGGGCTACTCAACCGGTCGTAAGTCGAGGACTGCTCAACTGGTGCAGCACCGTTTGCAGACTGGGACTTTTGGCGGGCTCAGCAGGGCAGAGACAGTCTGGACAATTCCTATTGGCTTTTGAAAGCCAATAGAATTAGACTCTATTCAAGAGAGTCTATTCTATTGGCTTTCAAAAGCCAATAGAATAAAAGGGAGTAGCACAGCTAAGGAAAAGGGGGGAAGAAAATGGCGGACTGTGTTGTTTGGCGACCTCCGTGAAATGGTCGTTCGACCCCAAGTGGGGTCCCGACCCACAGGTGGAGAACCGCTGCTCTAGTCTATAAAAAGTCTTGATTTTTTTCCTTCATAAATGCTTTTTAATTTATTTTATTTTATTTTTTGTTTCGCCCGAATGACTTGGAGATTCGTATTTTGGACGGGACAATGAAGCCCCTTTTGCAAAAGGGGGGGAAAAAGCCTGTCGTCAAATTCAGGAATCGCGTTCGCGGGCAACCGATCAAAGCCCCCCCCCAGCGCAGAAGATGACCTCTGGAGGTCCCACCAGCCTCTCCAACTGCCAGCCGGGAACATTCCACAGCAGAAGGGAGGGACCCCCGCCCCCTCCCCTCCCCGGCTATTGTCCCGGCCTCGCCACGACAACGGCCTCCATTCGGGGGGGGGGTCCCCGCCTGGCTTGCACCAGCAGCTCTCTGGGGTCTCCCCTCCAAACATGGGGTCCAGTAGGGATGAGTGCCACCCGCTCTTTTCGGGATTCTTCGCCTCCTTCCACTTCAGCAGCCTCCTGGTGCTCAGCTGCCTCTTCTTCACTTTCCCGTGAGTAAGGAGTAAGGATCCTCCCTCCAGCAGCCGATCCAGGAGAAGCTTTGTAACAGCTCAGGGTTCAAGTGAGGGGGTCCTGGGTGGCCTCTGAGCTGGGTTGTGTTAATGCAGGTGTTTCGTGACCCAGTGTAACGGAGAGGAGGAGGAGGAGGAGGAGGAGGAGGAGGAGGAGGAGGAGGAGGAGGAGGAGGAGGAGGAGGAGGAGGAGGAGGAAGGGACTGTGGGGTCCTGGTGCTCTCTGAGCTGGGTGGTTTCCTTGCAGACGTTTCATTGCCCAACTAGGTAACATCATCAGTGCTAGAAGAGAGTGATGTGGGAGGAGGAGGAGGAGGAGGAGGAGGAGGAGGGGGGGGGAAGAAAAAGAAAGAGAAAGAAAGAAAGAAAGAAAGAAAGAAAGAAAGAAAGAAAGAAAGAAAGAAAGAAAGAAAGAAAGAAAGAAAGAAAGAAAGAAAGAAAGAAAAGATTATGGGATCCTTGGTGCTTTCTGAGCTGGGTGGTTTTCTTACAGACGTTTCATGACCGAACTAGGGAACATCATCAGTGCTAGAAGGGATGAGGAGCGGGAGGAGGAGAAGGAGGAGGAGAAGAGAAAGAAAAAGAAAGAGAGAAAGAAAGAAAGAAAGAAAGAGAAAAAAAGAAAGGACTGTGGGGTCCTTGGTGCTCTCAGAGCTGGGTGGTTTTCTTGCAGACGTTTCGTGCCCAGTTAGGTAACATCATCAGTGCTAGAAGAGAGTGATGTGGGAGGAGGAGGAGGAAAAGAAAAAGAAAGAGAAAGAAAGAAAGAAAGAAAGAGAAAAGAAAAGATTGTGGGGTGCTGGGTGCTCTCTGAGCTGGGTGGTTTTCTTGCAGACGTTTCATGACCGAACTAGGAAACATCATCAGTGTTAGAAGGGATGAGGAGGGGGAGGAGGAGGAGGAGGAGGAGAGAAAGAAAAAGAAAGAGAGAAAGAAAGAAAGAAAGAAAAAGAGAGAAAGAAAGAAAGAAAGAAAGAAAAAGAAAGAAAGAAAGAAAGAAAGGAAGGAAGGAAGGAAGGAAGGAAGGAAGGAAGGAAGGAAGGAAGAAAGAAAGAAAGAAAGAAAGAAAGAAAGAAAGAAAGAAAGAAAGAAAGAAAGAAAAAGAAAGGACTGTGGGGTCCTTGGTGCTCTCAGAGCTGGGTGGTTTTCTTGCAGACGTTTCATGACCCAACTAGGTAACATCATCAGTGCTAGAAGAGAGTGATGTGGGAGGAGGAGGAAGAGGAGGAGGAGGAGGAGGAGGAGGAGGAGGAGGAAAAGAACTGTGGGGTCCTTGGTGCTCTCTGAGCTGGGTGGTTTTCTTGCAGACATTTCACGACCCAACTAGGGAACATGATCAGTGCTAGAAGGGAGCGGGGTTGCTGTCTACAAGCAAACTGCTTGTATATAAACAGAGAGCAAACACTGCTCATTTTTAGTACTGATGGAGGAATAGACAGAAGCAGAGGATGATGGATGGATGGATGGATGGAGGGAGGGAGGGAGGGATGGAGGAAGGGAGGGAGTGGGGAGGGATGCATTAGAGGAGAGAAAATAGATAAAAGGGAGGCAGAGAGAGAGGAGATGTGGATAAGAGATAGATGGACAGATCGAAAGAGGTAGATAGATAAGAAATGGATAGGTAGATGGATAAAGATAGATGAGAGAGAGAGAGAGAGAGAGAGAGAGAGGGAGGGAGGGAGGGAGGGAGGGAGGGAGAGAGAGATCTGAATAAGAGATAGAGATAGGCCAGGGGTCTTCCAACTTGGCTCTTTTATGACATGCTGGCTGAGGAATTCTGGGAGTTGAAGTCCAGAAGTCATAAAAGGGCCAAGTTTGAAGACCCCTGAGATGGATGGTTAGATAGAAGTAGATAGAAAAGAAATAGCTAGATAGCTAGATAGACAGACAGACAGACAGACAGATAGACAGATAGATAGAAATAAAAAGAAAAGAAAGAAAGAAAGAAAGAAAGAAAGAAAGTAAGAAAGAAAGAAAGAAAGAAAGAAAGAAAGAAAGAAAGAAAGAAAGAAAGAAAGAAGAGATAGATGGATAAAAGAGAGAGAGAGGGTTAATAGATAGATAGAAGAGAGGATGGGTGGATGGATGGAGGTGATGGCGCTCTCACCAAAGGCGAGGTGGGAGAATAAATAGCTAAGATTAAGCCCTACTCTCTTTGTAACTGAAAAAGCTTCTTTCCCCACCTCTGATCAGGGCTGACCAGGAAGGATATCTGGTATCCTCACTGCCCAAAGTGACACGGATTGAAACTCTAATTGCCCATGTGCAGAATTATAATCCATAAATAATTTCCAGGTTAATTTAAATTCGGCATCAGGGCTTTTTTAAAAAATTGAAATTATGTTCAATGTCGATGCACACCGTATCTTTCTCTTTATATGTGCTAAAGCAGCATTCCACAACTTTGGCAAAATGAAGAGGGGGGGACTTCAACTCCCAGAATTCCCCAGAAGCTGAGGGACTGGCTGGGGAATTCTGGGACTTGAAGTCCACCTTCTGGGAATCCTGGGACTTGAAGTCCACCTTCTGGGAATTCGGGAAGCTGAAATTCACCTGCTGGGAATTCTGAGACTTGAAGTCTATCTTCTGGGAATTCTGGGACTTGAAGTCCGCCTTCTGGGAATCCTGGGACTTGAAGTCCGCCTGCTGGGAATTCTGGGACTTGAAGTCCACCTGGGAATTCTGGGACTTGAAGTCCACCTTCTGGGAATCCTGGGACTTGAGGTCCACCTTCTGGGAATTCTGGGACTTGGGCCACCTTCTGGGAATTTTGGGACTTGAGGTCCACTTTCTGGGAATTCTGGGACTTGAAGTCCGCCTGCTGGGAATTCTGGGACTTGAAGTCCACCTGGGAATTCTGGGACTTGAAGTCCACCTGGGAATTCTGGGACTTGAAGTCCATCTTCTGGGAATTCTGGGACTTGAAGTCCGCCTTCTGGGAATCCTGGGACTTGAAGTCCGCCTGCTGGGAATTCTGGGACTTGAAGTCCGCCTTCTGGGAATCCTGGGACTTGAAGTCCGCCTGCTGGGAATTCTGGGACTTGAAGTCCACCTGGGAATTCTGGGACTTGAGGTCCACCTTCTGGGAATTCTGAGACTTGAGGTCCACCTTCTGGGAATTCTGGGAGCTGAAGTCCACCTGAAGAAGGTGGACTTCAGGTGAGCACCTTGAGCACAGGGTCACTGTGCGAAAGAGACTCTGCTGTTGTCAGAGTCCAGCGTGGGATAGACCCACAACCTTGTTTGCTGTCCGCAGCGGTTCCTGGCTGGGGCTGAACGTCTCCTGGGCTTTCCCCATCATTTGCGGCAACCTTCTCATCCCGACCCTCCTGTACTTCTTCCTCACCAGTTTCACAGACACGGGGGTCCTCCACAAAGGTAAGCGAGGGGCTGCGTCCCTTCTCAAAAGGCGGTCGATGCAGGCAGTCCTCGGCTTACGAACACAGAATTGCAGAAGAGCAATAGCCCTTAGACTTATGTACGCTTCTCAGGGCTTTGCGGTTTTACAGAGTCAGCCTATTATCCCCCAATCTGGGTCTTCATTTTACCGACCTCGGAAGGATGGAAGGTGGATCAAACTGCTGGCTGTGGGCAGTGAATTAGGCTGCAATACTGCATTGTGAAGGAAGGAAGGAAGGAAGGAAGGAAGGAAGGAAGGAAGGAAGGAAGGAAGGAAGGAAGGAAGGAGAGGGAGAGAGGGAGGGAGGGAGAAAGGAAGGAAGGAAAGAGGGAGGGAGGGAGAAAGGAAGGAAGGGGGAGGAAGGAAGGGAGGGAGGGAGGGAAGGAGGAAGGAGGGAGGGAAGGAAAGGGAAGAAGGGAGGGAGGGAGGAAGAGGAAAGGAAGGAAGGAAGAAAGGAGGGAGGGAGAAAGGAAGGGAGGGAGAGAGGAAGAAAGGAAGGGGAAAGGAAGGGAGGGAGAAGGAGAAAGGAAGTGAGAAGGAAGGAAGGAGGGAAGGAATGAAGGAAGGAGTGAGGGAGGGAGGGAGAAAGGAAGGAAGGAAGGAAGGAGGGAGGGAGGGAGAAAGGAAGGGAGAAGGAGGGAAGGGAGGGAGGGAGGAAGGAATGACGGAAGGAGGGAGGGAGGGAGGGGGAAGGAAGGAAGGAAGGAAGGAAGGAAGGAAGGAAGGAAGGAAGGAAGGAAGGAAGGAAGGAAGGAGGGGAGGGAGGGAGGGAGGAATAGCAATAGCACTTAGACTTATATACCGCTGAAGAAATGAATGTAACTCAAGGACCACCCGTACAAGTGATGCCCTCCTTCTTTATATTGTCTCTTCACAACAACCCTGTGAGGTAGCCTGGACTGGGAAGAGAATGAGCTTGGCCCAAACTCATCTCACAGGCTTCCAAGGCAAGGGGGCAGGACTTGAACCCAGCCCTCCCCAGAGGCAAGCCAGCAAATTCATCCCTGCACCCAGCCTGGCTAGGCGCTGGGAGTTAAAGCAGACATTCCTGTCATCAGCAGCCGCCACGCCCGCAGAAGGGTTTTTTTTCCCCCTCCCTTTTTTAAAACCGCCCCGTGTTTTTTGCGTTTTGTGTCTGTCCGTGTGAACTCCTCGCAGAACACAAACACACCGTCCCCCGGGCGGTCGCACAAGGAAAGCCGTTTTTCACACCTGGTGGTCTCCTTTCCCTCCGTCCCAGGCATCCAAGAAGAGCTGGAGAACCAGGCCAACACCCTGGGCAGCCTCAACAAACGCTGGTGCAACAGGTGCCAGTTGTACAGCTTGCCGCACACTTTCCATTGTCGCTGGTGCAACACTTGCGTGGAGGTAGGGTATGGCCGGCAGACACAAACACAATTTCCCCCCACAACGAGCAGCGAAACCAACATCTGAGGGGCTGTGGTTACAGACAGTCCTCAATTTACGACCGTTCATTTAGTGACAGAAGTTACAACGGCACTGGGTAAAGCGACTTGTGACCGTTTTTCACACTTACGACCGTTGTTACAGCGTCCCTCGAGTCACATCAAAATTCAGACACTGGGCAACTGACTCGTATTTATGACCACTGCAGTGATTCACTTAACAACGGAGGCCAGAAAAGTCACAAAATGGGGCAAACTTCAACAACTGTCTTGCTTGGTAACTGTCTTGCTTGGGGTTCAACCGTCGTAAGTCGAGGACTACCTGTATTTTGGTGTTTTTGGCAAAACCAGCCCATAATAAAATGATTGGTTCACTTAGTGACTGCTGCTTTCATCTTGTGACCGCAACATTTGGCTAACTGCAAAAAAAAGGTTAGAAAATCAGGTTGGTCGTGTGGATGAGCCGCTTTACAACTGTCACAACCGAGAACCACGATGGGCAGGCTCTGTTACGGCTGTAAGTCAAGGACTCCCTCAAATGCATTTCCGGGTGGTCTCCAGTCCGAAGCTGCTAGCTAAGATCAAACATCTGCAGCGATCTCCTGCAGGTAGTGAACCAGTCAGCTTTTGTGCCTGAGATGGAACTAGAACTCCCCGTCTCCTGCTGATTGACCCAAAGTCACCCAGATGGCTTTCATGCCTAAGGCGGGACTAGAACTCACCATCTCCTGGTGACTGGCCCAAAGTCATAGCTAAGGCAAGACTGGAACTCACCGTCTCCTGGTGATTGTCCCATAGTCACCAGCCGGCTTTCATGGCTAAGGTGGGACTAGAACTCACCGTCTCCTAGTGATTGCCCAAAGTCACCCAGCTACCTTTCATGGCTAAGGCGGGACTAGAACTCACCGTCTCCTGGTGAATGGCCCAGAGTCACCCAACCAGCTTTCATGCCTAAGACAGGACTAGAACTCACCGCCTCCTGGTGATTGGCCCAAAGTCACCCAGCCAGCTTTGATGCCTAAGGCGGGACTAGAACTCACCGTCTCCTGGTGATTGGCCCAACGTCACCCAGCTGCCTTTCATGGATAAGGCAGGACTAGAACTCACCGTCTCCTGGTGATTGGCCCAACGTCACCCAGCTGCCTTTCATGACTAAGGTGGGACTAGAACTCACCGTCTCCTGGTGAATGGCCCAAAGTCATCCAGATGGCTTTCATACCTGTTGGGACTAGAATTCACTGACTCCTAGTGATTGGCCCAAAGTCACCTAGCAGGCTTTCACACCTAAAACGGGACTAGAACTCACCGTCTCCTGGTGAATGGCCCAAAGTCATAGCTAAGGCAAGACTAGAACTCACCGTCTCCTGATGATTGGCCCAAAGTCACCCAGCCGGGTTTCATGCCTAAGGCGGGACTAGAACTCCCCGTCTCCTGGTGATTGGCCCAAAGTCACCCAGCCAGCTTTGATGCCTAAGGCGGGACTAGAATTCACAGTCTCCTGGTGATTGGCCCAAAGTCACCCAGCTGCCTTTCATGACTAAGGCGGGACTAGAACTCACTGTCTCCTGGTGATTGGCCCAAAGTCACCCAGCCGGCTTTCATGCCTAAGGCAGGACTAGAACTCACCGTCTCCTGATGATTGACCCAAAATTATAGCTAAGGCGAGACTAGAACTCCCCATCTCCTGGTGATTGGCCCAGAGTCATCCAACCAGCTTTCATGCCTAAGGCGGGACTAGAACTCCCCGTCTCCTGGTGATTGGCCCAAAGTCACCCAGCCAGCTTTCATGCCTAAGGCGGGACTAGAACTCACTGCCTCCTGGTGATTGGCCCAAAGTCACTCATCTGGCTTTCATACCTGTTGGGACTAGAATTCACTGACTCCTAGTGATTGGCCCAAAGTCATTTACTGGGCTTTCATACCTAAGGCAGGACTAGAATTCACCCCCTTTCTAGCCTGCTGCCTTAAGCAATAAATCAAACTGGCTCTTTGTCTGTTGTGTGAATGTGGCTACAGAGGACCCCGTGGCCCTCCTTCCTTTTTCCAATAAGACCCCCGGGTCAATTTTCTCCTCTCCCCTCCCCTCCCATCTCTTTCCGGACTCTGGCGCAGGAATTCGACCATCACTGCATGTGGGTGAACAACTGTATCGGCTGCCACAACGTCCGTTTCTTCCTGCTCTTCGTCTTCTTCCTGACCAGCTACGACTTGGCGGTGCTCCTCGCTTGCTTCACCTACCTGGCGCTCAACAGCCAGCAGCCCTTTGGCGTGGAGAAGATCTGCACGTATCCTTGGCCCGGCATCCTTCCACCTTATTTTTTTTTAAGCCTCTCTTGTCCCCCACGTTGGCCAGGGGGGTGGAGGTCGAAAAAGTCAAGATGGTGGCCAGCTCTTGGAGAAGCTTTTTAATGTGTGTGTTTTAAAGAAGAAACACAGGCGGAGCTTTAGATCGCATCCTTTCGAGGCGATAATCCTGGCCTGTGGATCGACCTGCACAGCCAGCACAGCCTTGGGCCACGTTGGTTGAGGACAATGGGTACTGTTGTCCCGCACTAGCCAAAAGGCAGCTTGTTTCGAGACGTTCCCGGCAAAGCTGCTGCCTTTCTACTTGCAGGCTCGCTCACAGGCGAGTGCAAAAGGTTGATGCCCCTTTCCAGAATGGGGTGGGGGGATATGCGTGTTTTCTTGCATTTAGGCAAGGAAAAGCAAACGCACAGGTGTAGTATAGGGGGTACCTTGCTCAATAGTAGCAACTGTAAAAGGGATCTTGGAATCCCAGTGGACGATCCCTTAAATAGGAGCCAGTTGCCCAAAAAGCCAACATAGTGTTAGGCTGCATTAACAGAGGGATTGAATCAAGATCAGGTGAAGTGTTAATACCACTTTACAAGGCCTTGGTAAGGCCACACTTGGAATCCTGCATCCAGCTTTGGTCACCACGATGTAAAAAAGATGTTGAGAATCTAGAAAGAGTGCAGAGAAGAGCAACAAAGATGATTAGGGGACTGGAGGCTAAAATATACAAGGAACGGTTGCTGGAATTGGGGATGTCCAGTTTAATGAAGAGAAGGACGAGGGGGGACAGGATAGCAGCCTTCCAGTATCTCAGGGGCTGCCCCAAAGAAGAGAGAGTCAAGCTGTTCGCCAAAGCACCTGAAGGCAGGACAAGAAGCAACGGATGGAAGCTCATCAAGGAGAGAAGCAGCCTAGAACTAAGGAGAAATTTCCTGACAGTGAGAACAATTAACCAGTGGAACTCCTTGCCTCCAGAAGCTGTGAATGCTCCAACACTGGAAGTGTTCAAGAAGAGACTGGACAGCCATTTGTCTGAAATGGTCTAGGCCAGTGGTTCTCAACCTGTGGGTCGGGACCCCATTTGGTGTCGAACGACCATTTCACGGGGGTCGCCAAACAACGCAGTCCGCCATTTTTTCCCCCCTTTTCCTTAGCTGTGCTCCTCCCTTTTATTCTATTGGGTTTTGAAAGCCAATACAATAGACTCTCTTGAATAGAGTCTAATTCTATTGGCTTTCAAAAGCCAATAGGAATTGTCCAGGCTGTCTCTGCCCTGCTGAGCCCGCCAAAAGTCCATTCTGCAAACGGTGCTGCACCAGTTGAGTAGTCCTCGACTTACGACCGGTTGAGTAGTCCTCGACTTACGACCAGTTGGGGGTCGTGGCATTAAAAAGGTTGAAAACCATTGGTATAGGGTTTCCTGCCTGAGCAGGGGGGGTTGGACTAGAAGACCTCCAAGGTCCCTTCCAACTCTCTTAAACATCAATATCCAACTGGCTTAGGGTATTAAATATTAACAACTCTAACTTCTACTCAAGGAATAGGAGGATATAGAATAGAATAGAATAGAATAGAATAGAATAGAATAGAATAGAATAGAATAGAATAGAATAAAGGAGAAATTTCCTGACAGTGAGGACAATTAACCAGTGGAACCACTTGCCACCAGAAGCGGTGAATGCTCCAATACTGGAAGTTTTTCAGAAGAGACTGGACAGCCCTTTGTCTGCAATGGTCTAGGGTTTCCTGCCTGGGCAGGGGGGAGGGTTGGACTAGATGACCTCCAAGATCCCTTCCAACTCTGTGATTCTGTTAAGAAGGAACAGGCTGAAGTGTCTTCTCTGCAGGTGGATGCCATGGTGACCGTCCCGTCTCCCAGTTGACCTCGGGAGCTCTCATCTAGATTCGTGTTCCCCAAAGCCCGGGTTCAGGGACTGTGTCCCCCCCACCCTAGGCGTTTCCCCCCCCCTCCTCAATGCTGTTCCTCTCTGTCCTTGCGTGCCCTCTCTTCTCCCACACCAGCCTTAACGTGATCATCTGAGCCAGGGTGCTCCTGACCATCCC